GCAAGTAGACTCGTTGGATAGGTGAGATATTCAGCTTTCATACGAGTGTTCGATGATGTAATTATCCTAAAAGGTTGTCGAGTTATTAACGAAAAACTGAAAAAAAATCGAAAAAAACGCCGTTTCTCTGTTACGTAAAGAACATTACTTAACTTTTGTTACATACAAAGTTGCGCTACGATTGCGTGCATCTGATTATGCAATAAAATCATAAAAAAGTTTATTAGTTTTCGAGTTATTAACGAAAATCGATTACTAGATTTTTTGTTCTGTTTTATCATCTGTCGTAATAAAAATATCGACGTATGCAACTTACGTTTAGATTTGCCATCCGCATCTCTACCAAAGATAACCTGAAATTTTTGAATCTATTGTGAAGTGCTTCTGTTGTGTTTACCTTTTTCACAGAATTTCTTTTTGACTTTAATTCGAACGCATTTCGCAATGGACGAGGAGGACCCGAAAGAGTATAGATGGGAAACCGGATACGAGAAGACCTGGTGAGTGCATTGCATTGTCTACTAAACGTTCTCTTGTTAATTTGTTTTTGTTTTTAGGGAGGTCATACAGGAGGACGACGATGGATTTCTGGAAGCCTCCGTAGCCGATATCATCCAGAAATCGAAGAGGAAGAGGCAAGCTCTGAAGCAGGGTCACGCCAAGCTCGGCATGATGAGACATCTGTACATTGTGATCGACTGTTCGGATTCGATGTCCGGGCAAGATTTGAAGCCCACTAGATTGCTGTGCACTGTCAAGGTATGTCAAGATACGATGATCGATGCAGCCGAATCGATGTGTGAATTCTTTGCAGCTCATGGAGGCGTTCATCGAGGAGTTCTTCGATCAGAATCCGATCAGCCAATTGGGCATAATCATAATGCACAATAAGCGCGCGGAGAAGATAAGCGAGTTGGCTGGAAACGGACGGAAGCACGCGAAGGCTGTCAAAGCGTTGAATCGTACGTCGCTTGTCGGTGAACCTTCACTGCAGAACGGTTTGGAGTTGGCGTTGAAATCGTTGAAGTTGCTGCCGAGTCACGCGAGCAGAGAAATACTGGTCGTCATGGGCAGTTTGACGACGTGCGATCCCACTGACATTAACGTCACCATTGAGGTAAGAGTTGCAGCTACAACAGTAAAAGAAATGTATTGAAATGAATTGATTTTTAGAATTTGAAAACTGAAGGCGTCAGATGCTGCGTGATCGGTTTGGCAGCTGAGGTGCACGTGTGTCGACATCTCGCGAACGAGACTGGAGGCACTTACAACGTTATCCTCGAGGACAGTCACTACAAGGATCTGCTCTTCCAGAACGTCGATCCTCCACCAGCTGCCGTCTGTTTGGAGTCGAGTCTCATAAAGATGGGATTCCCGCATCAGATGGCGACGGAAGGAACAGAAGATCCGTTAACGATGTGCATGTGGTCAGTAGTAATAGTTGCAAAATTGAGCAAATTTATATAGTGTTATTTTATAGTCACATAGATAGTGCAGACGAAGGAAGCAAATTGACGACCGGCGGATACTACTGTCCGCAATGCAACAGCAAATACTGCGAGCTTCCCGTGGAGTGCAGATCCTGCGGGCTGACTCTGGTGTCCGCTCCGCATTTAGCTAGATCGTATCATCATCTGTTTCCTGCTGCGAACTACAAGGAATTACCGTACGAGCATCAATCTGCAATCTGCTTTGCGTGTCAGAAGAGTTTCATTGCAGATAATGATAAGCAGGTTGGTTCCAGTTTCTGAAAGATTAACGTATTTGTTAATGTTTGTTGTACGGTTTGGTTTTCGCAGGTGTACGAATGTAATAATTGCAAGAAGATCTTCTGCACGGACTGCGACATGTTCATACACGACACTCTGCACACGTGTCCCGGTTGTGCGACGAATCTGGCCACCTTTCAAATGTCGCACAGTAGTCAATAATAGATAGAGATGAAGGAAGTATTGGATGGATGGATCGTATCGATTCGATGGATTTATTAATTTATTTTAGTATTCCAATTTATACAAAAAGAAGATAAATAAGAATCAAGTAGTTTTGGTTAGGGGTGAAAGAAAGAAAAGAAAGTAAACGTGTTGAACGCGATCGTTTTTTTCGCATTGTAACGAATAATTAATATAAATAAATAAGAAAGAAGGAAAGTTACTTTACGCGTATCATTTTTTTTTAATATATATCTTGTTGAAGCGTGCCCTAAACTGAATGTTTGTGTGTGTGTGTATAGTGTGTTGCCTATCACTTCTTGGAGAAGGCTTTGATCCTCGAATCCAATCCGATCACGGTCTTGTTGATCTCGTCCAGATTCATGGCGAAACTCTCTTGGACGCCCTTGAGGAGAGCCTTGTTGTTCTCCACGTTCCCTTTGATCTCCGCTTGAAGAGCCTCCACCTGCGCGAGACTCGTCGCGAATGTTCCAGCTGCAAATCAGCATCGATTAGTTGTTGAGGATACAAAAAAAAATAGAAGTTTACCCTTGCTGTGCAACGCCTCGAGCGATTTCAATCGTTCCACCGTCTGCGGCAGCACCTTATTAACGTTCTCGCTGTTCTTCACCAATTCGTAAAGTTCCAAAATCTGTTGAAAAAAACAAACACATACAATATGGATTTAATAGTTTCAACGCATTAATTACCATCTTATCCTTTTCCACGTCTTCGGCAAATTGCTCTTTCTTTTTGGCGATCAAATCCATCTTTTGCGAGAGCGCCGTCAGACGTCCTTCGATGTGATCCAATTGGGCCGAATCCAGGAGACTCGCTGTGGCGCTCAGATGTTGAGCGGCCTCTAATAAACCCTCTGCAACATTAAAATTTTAAATCAATCAATCAATAATTATGATTAATGTGCGAAAATGCACATTTGTAACGTAATTAATCATTGATATTCATTACTTTTCGACGTGGCCTGCGTCAATCGTACAAGGTTATCGTTGCTGGCGCCGAGGACGTTCTCGAGTCGATGCAACCTCTTCTCCAATTCGGTGACGCGTCCTGTCTGCTCCAGCTTCACCTTGTCCGGTCTATAATTCAATTTAAACGTTATCCCATCCTCTGTCGTGGTGCTCTCATCACTCTCAGCTTTCTCACCGACGCTCATCTTGAACGCCTCCAATTGCGACAACAATTTCCTAATAACAATCAATTATTATGTGTAAACTAAAAAGTATTCTAAAAAAAACTCACTTGATTTGTGCCCCCTGCGGATCCATTATGTTCGAAATAACATCCTGCCCCAGAGTCTCCTCCAGCTTCAGATCGGCGAGCTTCTGCAATCCCATCTCCACTTGGGCTCTGCTCACCAAACAGTTCGTTTCCTCCTTGTTCTCCTTATCCTCGCTGGTGATCCTCTTCACGTCCTCGTGCAGCTCGACCATCTCGCATTGCAGCCTCTGGAACTTTTGCAACGGAGTCTCTGCAGTAATTCTGTTCGTCCCCCCTTGCTGCTGCAGACCGAGCAGTTCCCAATCGCCGGATCGAGCATCGTATCCAGTTCTGATCCTCTTACTGATGCGATCGGAGAAGTCGACGCGATCGGAATCGAGACCCTTGTCCTTGAACCTGTTGAAGGCGTCATCGACGGAGATGTGGATGCGTTCGACGACGCCTTCGGATTCCTCGCAGAAATCTATCGACTGATCTGATTCCGGGAGGCAGGTACTGTCGTACACGTCCGGTTCGTCGTGAGCCTCAACAAAAAGAAAATAACAATTAAACAACAACAACAACTACAATTTCCAACATGATTGAGTTCTTATACTCACGATTCCCGGTAGATTTGCGTATTTCGGATCAGCCATCTCGTCCAGCAAACGCGGAAATTCCTGCTGATTCCTGCAGCACAATTATTCCCAAACACACACACAAAACGTCAGAAAAAAACAGCAGAACCCGATGATGTCATGTGTCAAAGCCGGAGGAGCGATAGGCAACTCTAATCACATACGACATTCAGCGCCATCTATCAACATACAGATTCTGGATTAATATTTCAAAAATACGGAATTCCATTACAAACGAACTTTCGAAAAACGTTTAAATTCAATTCAATTTCAATCTATGCATATCCTAGATCATTATTCATGTTTCAGTTTCTCCTGGGAGCGACATGTTATAAAAATACAGGTGTAAAGAAAAACAAGAAATCAAGAAATGAGAGTAAGAAAACTATTTACAAATTGCTCGTCTCGTCTCGTTCAGCAAACGCGGAAATTCCTGCTGATTCCTGCAGCACAATCATTCCCAAACACACACACGAAACGTCAGAAAAAAACAGCAGAACCCGATGATGTCATGTGTCAAAGCCGGAGAAGCGTAATGCAACTCTACTGACATACGACATTCAGCGCCATCTATAATCATACAGATTCTGGATTAATATTTCAAAAAATACGAAATTCCATTACAAACGAACTTTCGAAAAACGTTTAAATTCAATTCAATTTCAATCTATGCATATTCTAGATCATTACTCATGTTTCAGTTTCTTCTGGGAGTGACATGTTATGAAAATACAGGTGTAAAGAAAAACAAGAAATCAAGAAATGAGAGTAAGAAAACTATTTACAAATTGCTCGTCTCGTTTCGTCCAGCAAACGCGGAAATTCCTGCTGATTCCTGCAGCACAATTATTCCCAAACACACACGAAACGTCAGAAAAAAACAGCAGAACCCGATGATGTCATGTGTCAAAGCCGGAGGAGCGATAGGCAACTCTAATCACATACGACATTCAGCGCCATCTATCATCATACAGATTCCGGATCAATATTTCAAAAATACGAAATTCCATTACAAACGAACTTTCGAAAAACGTTTAAATTCAATTCAATTTCAATCTATGCATATCCTAGATCATTATTCATGTTTCAGTTTCTTCTGGGAGCGACATGTTATGAAAATACAGGTGTAAAGAAAAACAAGAAATCAAGAAATGAGAGTATGAAAACTATTTACAAATTGCTCGTCTCACCAAACACACACACGAAACGTCAGAAAAACACAGCAGAACCCGATGATGTCATGTGTCAAAGCCGGAGGAGCGATGGGCAACTCTAATCACATACGACATTCAGCGCCATCTATCAACATATAGATTCTGGATTAATATTTCAAAAATACGAAATTCCATTACAAACGAACTTTCGAAAAACGTTTAAATTCAATTCAATTTCAATCTATGCATATTCTAGATTATTATTCATGTTTCAGTTTCTTCTGGGAGCGACATGTTATGAAAATACAGGTGTAAAGAAAAACAAGAAATCAAAAAATGAGAGTAAGAAAACTATTTACAAATTGCTCGTCTCATCTCGTCCAGCAAACGCGGAAATTCCTGCTGATTCCTGCAGAACAATAATTGCCAAACACACACGAAACGTCAGAAAAAAACAGCAGAACCCGATGATGTCATGTGTCAAAGCCGGAGGAGCGATAGGCAACTCTAATCACATACGACATTCAGCGCCATCTATCAACATACAGATTCTGGAGTAATATTTCAAAAAATACGAAATTTCATTACAAACGAACTTTCGAAAAACGTTTAAATTCAATTCAATTTCAATCTTTGCATATTCTAGATCATTATTCACGTTTTAGTTTCTTCTGGGAGCGACATGTTATGAAAATACAGGTGTAAAGAAAAACAAGAAATCAAGAAACGAGAGTAAGAAAACTATTTACAAATTGCTCGTCTCACCAAACACACACACGAAACGTCAGAAAAAAACAGCAGAACCCGATGATGTCATGTGTCAAAACCGGAGGAGCGTAAGGCAACTCTACTGACATACGACATACAGCGCCATCTATCATCATACAGATTCTGGATCAATATTTCAAAAAATACGGAATTCCATTACAAACGAACTTTCGAAAAACGTTTAAATTCAATTCAATTTCAATCTATGCATATTCTAGATCATTATTCATGTTTCAGTTTCTTCTGGGAGCAACATGTTATGAAAATACAGGTGTAAATAAAAACAAGAAATCAAGAAATGAGAGTAAGAAAACTATTTACGAATTGCTCGTCTCGTCCAGCAAACGCGGAAATTCCTGCTGATTCCTGCAGCATAGTTTTTACCAACGTCAGAAAAAAAACAGCAGAACCCGATGATGTCATGTGTTAAAGCCGGAGGAACGATAGGCAACTCTAATCACATACGACATTCAGCGCCATCTATGATCATACAGATTCTGGATCAATATTTCAAAAAAATACAGAATTCCATTACAAACGAACTTTCGAAAAACGTTTAAATTCAATTTCAATCTATGCATATCCTAGATCATTATTCATGTTTCAGTTTCTTCTGGGAGCGACATGTTATGAAAATACAGGTGTAAAGAAAAACAAGAAATGAGAGTAAGAAAACTATTTAAAAATTGCTCGTCTCGTCTCGTCCTGCAAACGCGGTAATTCCTGCTGATTCCTGCAGCACAGTTTTTCCCAACGTCAGAAAAAACAGCAGAACCCGATGATGTCATGTGTCAAAGCCGAAGGAGCTATAGGCAACTCTAATCACATACGACATTCAGCGCCATCTATCAACATACATATTCTGGATTAATATTTCAAAAATACAAATTCTAGCATATTCTAGATCATTATTCATGTTTCAGTTTCTTCTGGGATCAAAATGTTATGAAAATACAGTTGAAAGGTGTAAAGAAAAACAAGAAATGAGAGTAAGAAAACTATTTACAAATTGAATATAGAGTAGAGTAGAAATCAATGCATGTACATTCTGTTGTTTCTGTATATGCAACTTCCGCGTATCCGTTGCCCCCTGTACTTGACGCTCCTCGCCAGCAGCGCTTCCCTCAGATAGATACCCTTCCTGTCCGGTGTCCATCCGCGGACGGTGCACTTCTCCTTCGTTTCCGGCGTGATGGCGATCCATCCGGCATTCGAGAGAACAACGTCGGCGCAAGAGTAATCCCTGTCGATACCGCTGACGGTGAAATCCCTCTTCGACGGCTGAAGTCCTCGCCACAGACGTAACCTCTCCGGATTCCCTGACGGAACGGCGAACACTTCCGTGCCCACAAAGTCCTCGTAGATGCGATCCGCCTCTGTCGTCTGGCAGACGGTTATAGGTAGACTCGACGAGCAGAAAACGGTGAACCTTAAATCAACATCACGTTCAATTTGGATAACACATTTTGAATGGGACGTACCTCGTCGTGGCCGCACCTTCGAGGTAGTCCAAACGGGCCAATCCTGCGATGAAGAGGGTGTTGCCTGGGCGTAGACTAAACGTCTGCGGTCTCAGGATAGTCTTTGGGAAAGTCAATAGAATCTCTTCGGTGGTCAACAAATGGATTAGCTGCAATTCGAATCCTTGAATGTTAATCTTACTTCAATAATAATAATTACCTGATCATCTTGGACGACGCCTGGCGTATCGAAGCACCACTTACTGAGCCGATAGATTTTCTCGTTCTCGTCAATGCCGATCTCCGGTTTCGCCTTCGAATTCCCCTTTCCTTGCACGGCGAACACATCCGACGGCGTCTTCTTTTCCTCCGACGCATCATCGAACGTCCTATCGATGTGTCCAATGAGCGTCGCGTATTTCGGATTCCTCGTCGTCTTGAACTGTTCGAGGCGGAGCTTCCGTTCGTCCGCCTGCAAACGTTTACTGGAAATCAACCGTTCCACCCTCATGTGCAGTCTGCTACCGCTCGGTCTCAGAATGGGAAACTTGAGTAGATTCAACGTGGTTCCCGGCCACGGACTCGTCGTCGCCCTCTGTATCAAATCCGCCGCCTGCACTTTGCAATAATCCGATTGGAGGAGAGCGTTGAAGAGGCTGGACTTGCCCACGTTCGTGCATCCCACCAGGAAGACGTCGCCCCTCGTCTGCCAAACGCTTTGCAGCTTCGTGATTAAATCCTCGACACCGTATCCCGTCTTTGCGGATATCAAGGAAACGGCTAAAATATTCTTCATGCCGAAGCCGGACTCTTTGACTGTCGCCAGCAGCTGCTTCGAGATTTTCTCCAGATATCCGCGACCATCGGACGGCAGCAAATCCACCTTGTTACCGACGACGACGATCGGGTTTCGTCTTCCCAGCAGATCGGCGATTCCCGGCCAAATCGAGCAAGGCATATCCAGCAGATCGACCATCAGCACGACCAGAGCGCTCTTCCTCTCCGAGATGGCCCGAAGCACTTTCGGGTAGTCCTCGGCGGAAACTCGCACCTGCAGCGCCAAATCGTAGTTCTTCAGGAAGTGACACCTCTGACACGTGATCGCGCTCAACGGCAGTCCACCGTCTCTATCGTAGTTCTTGTAGATCTCCGAAGGAATGTATCCCGGTATAGATGTATCTCTGCAATGCAGCAGAGCGCCGCATCCACCGCAAGGCACGTCGCTCGTCTTCGTCGTCGGATCCGGCGTCCCGTAATTCACATTCGAAACATCACCCACATCCTCATCATCATCGATCTGCTCGTAATTCTCGTAATCCTGCATCCATCTCAGATGATCGTCCGACTTGTTGTACAGCTCCCAGCGCGTCTTCACCTCCAAATTTTGATCCTCGCAAACTAACTCCTCCTCCTTAACAAAACCCACGCCCTCTTTAACACTGACATCGTTCGATTGGTACGGAAAATTGACAGGACACGCCTTCTCTGCTTCAACTGCAACCCTAAAATCAATAATCATTAAACAACTTGAATCAATGATACAACAACAATTAAAATCGCTTTACTTTTTCCTTACTTTCTCCCTCTCCAATCCCAAATGGCTGTACAATGTCAAAGGAATCGGTTCCAATGATCTCCTCTTCATGTCCAAGGCCTTGTCGATTTCAAGATTCTTTGACCTGGCGATGGTGGTCCGTCTGAACCCCATCCTGTTGGGAGTCTCCTCCACATACCCGCAGTACAGCAGCTTCTCCTCATGCTTCTTCAGCAGACGTTCAACGCGACTCAAAGGATTCACCTTCACTGTCGCGCTTTGAAACTGTCTTTTTAGACATGAGAAAGTGAGGTTAACGCCCTTACCTCCACTCAACTTCAGCAGATTATTCATTTTTCGACCATCAATTACCAATCACATTTATTGTATCAACATGCTTTTGCGTTTAAAATACGCAATTTTAGTATTAATCTAACCAATAAATTGGAGTAAACAAACACCGCTTACGAAGAAATTCAAAATAATGGATAGGCAACCCAATTTACAATGTAAGCAAAGTACTTTGAAATGAGCATGTTACACTTTACAAGAATATATTCTAAATTAATTAAAGAATGCAAAAACATCAGTAATTGTGTGTAACAGATAATTTAGCAAAATATATTTGTATTTTTTTTTTTCAAATTTCGAAGTGGTGAAAGCGGTTGGTAAGCCTGTCATCAAGTTGTCATCTGTCACTTCGTCCATTTTGCTTTCACGCGATAAGGTTATAACACTGATTGTAGCAGCATTGCTGTAGCGAAAAAGTTTTGGTTTGTTTTCGATTAGTTTGTACGTGCAGATTGTTGTGAAAAATGCCTGTAGCTGAAGGAATTAAGTCGAGTTGGGCCGAGGAAGTGGAACTCGAGGGTGGAACTTTGCCTCCATCCACCGAGGTAAGTGCATCATCAACATATATATTAACAGACTTGATCCATTAGATGTGGTTTTTGTATTTACGTGTATGCGTTTGTAGGTTCGTGAGAATGGTATGAAGATTGTGACCGATTACAAATACAACAGCGACGATAAGAAGGTGAAAATCGTGAGGACGTACAAGATCGAGAAGAGGATCGTGTCGAAGACCATAGCGTCGAGGAAATGCTGGCACAAGTTCGGTGAGTCGCAGGACGACAAACCTGGTCCTAATCCGGCGACGACGATCGTCGCCGAAGATGTGTACATGCAGTACATCACGAGCAAGGAGGAGGAGAAGACGGAGGACGATGGACTGGACAAGTTGAAGTCGATGGGAGACAAGAACGTGGTCAAGTGCAGGAACTGCCAAGGAGACCATTGGACCTCGAAGTGTCCGTGGAAGGACACGATTCTGGCTGGAGGTAAACCTGCTGACGATAAGAAGGGCCCGACTGTGGGTGGTGGTGGTGCTGGAAGCAGCGGTGGACCGTCCATCTCTGCACCAGGAGACGGACCCAAGACCGCACCTTCCAAGTACATTCCACCTAGCATGAGGGACGGAGCACCGAAACGTTCCGACAACCCGAACATGCCGAGACGCGATGACGCCAGCGCCATCAGGATCAGCAATCTGTCCGAGTCGACGACGGAGACGGATCTCGAGGATCTGGTCAGATCTTTCGGTCCTCTGCAGAAGCTGTACTTGGCCAAGGACAAGTTGACCGGTCAGTGCAAGGGATTCGCCTACATCCATTTCAAGTTCCGTACGGATGCCGCGAAGGCGATCGCCACACTCAACGGATACGGATACGACCATCTCATCCTCATCGTCGATTGGTCCAAGCCACACACCACCGCCCAATAAGAACATGGTATAAAACAAAATTGATAGCAGATCGGAATATACACATATTAACAACGTGTATTTTTTTTTTGTTTGTTTCCTTCTTTTTATAAATTGAGTGTCGTCGAATAAATTGAGATACGCAAACCATATTTCTGTTTCATTTCGTCTTACAAATCCACTTAGTTTTCAATTGGTTTGGCAATCGTCAGGGTTCGGGTGAATTCGGCAACTGCAGCAATCATATTTCCATAGCAACAGAAAAAAAATAGAAGAGTTGTGCATTTGCAATAGTCACTTGATCCTGTATTTTTAGTAACAAAAATTGATAGCAGATCGGGATATACACATATTAACAACGTGTATTTTTTTTTTTTTTTGTTTGTTTCCTTCTTTTTATAAATTGAGTGTCGTCGAATAAATTGAGATTCGCAAACCATATTCTGTTTCATTTCGTCTTTACAAATCCACTTAGTTTTCAACTGTTTTGGCAATCGTCAGGATTCGGGTGAATTCGACAACTGCAGCAATCACATTTCCATAGCAACAGAATAGATGGGGGAGGGGTCAGTTGTGCATTTGCAATAGTCACTTGATCCTGTATTTTAGTAAAATTTATAATAATAATAATAATCCGTACGATGTTCGTCCGTACCGTACCGCAAATAAGTAATAGTAGTTAATAACATCAACTTAAATTTTATGTACAGCCAAGTTAAATATTAAAATAGTTATCTCGTATAGAGATATACACATACACACATATATATAT